CTCTTCTCCAACAGCAGAGTTCAAAGGCTTCTATTTTGTCATCCACGATGCCCTAAAGACAAGACCACCAGAGCTCCCTCTTTTATCACCTGTAACATAAAGTCTATTACAAGCCACACCCTAGGAAAACTATTCTTTCACTGAACAGGGTTATAAAGGGAAGAAGGGGTAGTGACTCCTGGGTGACTGAATCCGCATAAGGTGTCATGAATTGGAGCACAAGTGGTTTGTCAGAGTCTTTGAGCAATAGAAATAATTAACACACAAGATTATTAACTGAACCTCACAAGAAAAGTTTGGTGAGCTACTTCTTCAAAACTAACCACTGTGGCATTAGTTTGAAAGTTGGCTTTTCTAGCCCTGCTGGTCTCCAGCTATCTTAACTGTGGACACACGGTCTTACATATCATCAACAGCTGTGGAACTAATATAAGAGGGAGAGTGATTTCCACACTGTAGAGTGAGACCCTGGCAATGGCAGTAGTGGAGACATGGAGAGACTGTGGCATTGCTGTGGAGAGACGGTGGAAAGGTATAACCTGAAGTTTCTTGCATTTATGCTGGCCACACTTAAAGATTTTTCTTGCTGGATGATTCAAGGAGAAGCCAATAACTGTTCTGAGGCAAACTTTGCTGGATGATTTGAATTTGTGCTACTGAGCTGAACCGGGACTTTTACTAACTGAGGAATTGTGTTTTGCTGTTAATCCAGCTTGGAACTGCTGGACTAAACCTAGACTTGCATTGAATGATATTCTTTGTCTCCCTCATTCTCCAACTTATTTCTCTACTACACCCCACTCTTGGTACCACAACTGTGAGTAAAGTCTGTGAGCCAACAATGAATATCAAATCCAATGATTGGTGGAAATAGGTATAGGAGTATGCAGGGTGGTGTGTCTGATCTAGCAGCTATCTGTTTGCTGCTATGGATATTATTGATTGTGACAGTTCTCCTTTATGAAGGGAGTAGAAGTCAGACTCAGGGACCCCCACAGTACATTGGCTCTTTTTACAGCCACTGAAAACCCTATGGAGTACAGTTCCATTCTGACGTATATAGGGTTGCCGTAAGTTACAATAAACGTGGCAGCTCAGGGAAGAGAAGACAAATTATCTTTTATTCAGAAGCCCAGGATTTGAAGAATGTAGCCGAGCAACGCTGTCAGGCTGGGCTTTCTACCCAGTCTTCCTCTTCCTGGTTGTGTTATCTTGTGCCAGTGGCTTTATCTCTTTGAGTTTCATTGACCTCATGAAGTTGATGAGAATCAGCTCATCTGTTTCTTCTGAAATTCTTCTTGAGATCTTGAAGTTAACAAATCTTCAGCACCGGGCAGATCAGAAAAAACAAAACAACAATGCTCAATCTATTTCAGATCTTTCATCTCTTCCCCAAAGACACAATTCTCCACATCTCCTGAAGCCTCTGTCCCACAATGAAGCCAATACTCAAGAGAAGATTCTCTGTAAGATTTGATTGCTGTAGGAGGATGAGGAGCATTATGGCAGAAGTCTTCAGCTAAGGGCTCTGACATTTCAGCGTTGAGCAGGGACTGAGTAACAGAGAAGAACAGATACCATATCCGGTGTTCAGGAGGCATCAGACTTAGAATGTGGCTTCATTACTTTGTCCAGGGTCCCACTTAACAGCCCCTGTTTGGGGAGGTGATAATTTTGTGCCTTTAGTTCCAACCTCCTACCCAACTCCTTGATCTTCCCTGTCACAATCTCCATGCACTCTCTGTGTTGAGAAAACAGCAGGGCTGCCCACTCTATGGGATTAGGAGGCATCATGAGTTGGCTATCCCAAATTCTGTGCCTCATGTTTCCAAATAGACTAGAGCACCTTTGAATTGAAACATCTATCTTTGGTCTAGCTTTTAAGGCGGTCATTGCAACAGACAAGAAAGCAATAGGAAACTTTTGTTTGTTTGTTTTTTGTTTCTTAAGCCAAACTTTTTCTTTCCAAAGTGGTGCCATAAATTTCTACTGAGTGCCAATGGTCACTTGCCTCACTCGCACCAGATTGTCTGTGTAGCCAGCAAACAAGAATCTGGCCATCAGCAGACCAGGCCAGAGAGGTGCACTGGGGTGGTTCAGCTTTGCTGCTGTTGCTGATAACTTCTTGCTTCAGTTCATCTACAATGATCTTGCCCTCCAAGTCCCAAATCTTGATACTGGGACCTGTGGCCAGTAGCGGTTAGGGCTGAAGCACAGGGCACTGATGATGTCACCACCTTCTAAAGTGTAGAGATGCTTGCCTTCATTGAGGTCCCACAGCATAGCCTGGCCATCCTTGCTTCCAGAAGCACAGAGGGATCCATCTGGAAAGACAGTCACAGTGTTCAGGTAGCCTGTGTGGCCGGTGTGGTTGGTTTTCAGCTTGCAGTTAGCCAGGTTCCACACCTTGACCAACTTGTCCCAGCCACAGGAGACGACGATGGGGTTGCTGCTCTTGGGTGAGAAGCGGAGACAAGACACCCACTCCGAGTGACTCTCATCCTGGACAGTGTACTTGCAGACACCCAGAGTATTCCATAGCTTGATGGTTTTATCTCTGGATCCTGAAACAATTTGCCTGTTGTCAGAGGAGAAGGCCACACTCAGCACATCCTTTGTATGCCCTACAAATCTGCATGTGTGGTAGTACCCGTTGTGAGATGCCAGAGGCGTAGCGTTCCATCCCAGGAACCAGAAAGGGCAAAATGGCCATCAGAGGAGAAGACCACATTACTAACAAAGTGGGAGTGGCCACGCAGAGCACCCTGAGGGATGCCATAGTTGGTTTCATCTCGGGTCAGCTTCCACATGATGATGGTCTTATCTCGCGAGGCGGACAGTATCATGTCTGGGAACTGCGGTGTGGTTGCAATTTGAGTCACCCAACTGTTGTGGCCCTTGAGGGTGCCACGAAGGGTCATCTGTTCAGTCATGTTTACTGCGGGTGCGGGGGTCGCCGCAGCGACGAGGATGGCAGTGGATAACTCAGAGACCCCAAGGGCACAGCCGCTGCCGCCGCTGCTCCACTGAGAAAAAGCTCAATAGGAAACTTTTAAAGTACCTTGTAATAGGTTGAATTTCGTCCTCTTTGGTACTAGATATAGAAGCATATACCTGAATAATAGTTGTGTTAATGGGTCTTTCCTGTATGTGTATGGATATTATCCTATCACTCACAACATTGTGATTCAGGATAAAACTTGAAATTGACTTTTTTCACTATGAATACAACACCGGTCTTCTTCTGGTTTTGTTGTTGTTGCTGTTGTTGTTGTTTTTTAATTCCTGGCATAGTATATCATATGATTATCTGATTCAAAGTGGCCATAGCTGGTCCATCGCATCTCAGCACTGCATGGTTTGGAATTGAGAGGGAGTACATCCGGGATGTATTCTGTCTTCGGGTTTTTATTTATTTTTTTTAAATTGTTATTTTAATGAAATTTTACAGAAAAGTTGGATTTTCATTCACTCATTGTTGCACATTTTCCTCCCCACTTCCCCAGTTCAGTTTTTTTTTTTAAACATCCACAGTCAACACTCTGGTGTTGTTTTTTTTTTTTATTTTTAAAAGCCTTTTTATTTCCTTCACCGTTATTGTTTTACAATACAAAGATCACCTTGTGGATACATACACACAAAAACCCCTATAGGAGATAATTCTGCGGCACGTAAAATACAGAATGGATATATATATATATACTTCTTCGTCCTTAAAAAACTATTTTTTTCTCCATATTGGCAAGTATAGAATAGAATACTTCCCCAAACATACCTTGGTAGGAGTAAAACTTAGAGGAGTTCCATGCAGTTTCTGCACAAATATATTTTAAAGAAATCTCTTTTTTGTTGTTGTTTACCAACAAAATTGTCGTGAGAGTATGGAAAACAGATTCCATGTTTTAGTTGGGTGATAATTTTTAAAATTCTTATTTATTTTAAAAAAGGGGTATCCATGGCTGTTTTCATTGTATAGTTAAAATCAAACTACCAAAATAAATGCTAAAATAATCTAAGTAATACATGTTGTTGCCACCTACTCACAATATGTGAACAGGCTCTTAATTCTTAATTAGCTTCCCCATTCTTTAATTCAGACCAATTTAAAAACCATAAACAGTCTTCTGATTTACGTTAGCTATAAATGCAAAATTTAGTAGTGTATACATACATTTGTATTTTCATGGAATACTTTATTTGAAAGAAAAACATTGAAGATTGCCTACTGACCATACAATCAAGACAAGAAAGGCACTAGAAACATAGACAAATTTCTCTCCCAAGAAGCATTTTTAAATTTTAACTCTTCTCTCTGACATGTAAAAATCTTTAAATTTGGTTTTCATAACATCATTTTGAAAAATAAAGTTAGGAAATACTTAGAAAAATCACTTTATAACAGAATCTTTTTTTTTGCACTTTTTTGACACTCTGTCTCTGCTGATTTTCCAAAAACCCAACAAGTTATCAAACCTTTCCGTGTCTGTCATTTTTATTTGAAAACTGGTGCCACGGGCAGAAAGATTTCAGAAACGAACTCCATTCAGGTACTTTGAAACCTTCATAGTGACATTTCCTAGAAAATGGCTTACAGCCCAATCTTTGGGGCAAGAGATATGAAAAGTATGTTTTCCCAAGAAAATAATATGCTTTATTTCCAGATGTGACTGGAAAGACCAGAACTTATGATATAAAAGCTTTTACATTTATGCTGTTGCATCATATACAAAGGAACATGGTAGTCATGGGTTATGTAAATCCCAAACCTATGAACAGGAAATGTGTACAGTGCATGATAGGTGAAATTTTCTTTATTTTGTCCAACACGGGTCCTATGGAGAGAAAAAAGATCACAGTGCTGACCAGGTAACTCAATAGGTTAAGTCAAGGTAACGGTTGAAAGATACTAGGATTAGGGAGGTGTTTATTTTTATGGCATCTTCTCTCATGGAGTTCTTAGCACTTTGGACAGTTCCTCATTCCCCCACTTTGTACAGCTCTTATGTGTTGTTCACCAATCGGCTGTATTTAACTTGCCTACTGAGGTGGACTACGGGCCAGGGGAAGGGCCAGTGGTAAGATTGAGGTACAATTCCTTGGACGTTCTTTTCAAAGTACTGAAATGGCCTGTACCACCACACTCTGGCCAGGAGGTTCATCTGAGAAGCTTCTTTTAGCACTTGCTGATTGGCCATAGTGTGATACCACCAGAAGAGTCTCGTGGTGATGTAATACGCCACCACCACGTCCACAGTGTAGTGGTCATGCGCCAAGAGAATACAGAAGATTCCAACTCTGCTGAGGATCCAGCAAATCCACAGGTACCACCAGAGTCGCCGAGGAGAATACTCTTTGATAAATAAGTGAGTGAGTGTTAGCATGACCGTGTGGCCGCTGTACAGGTAGTCCCCACACATGCTGTGAGAGCCGGTAATGGACAGGCCGCCTCCAGCAATGAGCTTCATTATTCTTCGCAGCTGGGCTTCCCAGTCTCCGAAAAGCTTTGGAGAACACTTGAAATGCATACCCGGAACTGGGAGTGTAGTTACATACATTGTAATACACCAATACAGGTACAGTGTGCCAACTAGGCAGAAGAATCTTCTGCTAATAATAGACTTGTATTTTAAGAGCAACCACTGAAATATCCAGAGTCCTACAAGGGTCATGCCATTAATTTCACTAATAGAAAAGGCCCACTGCACCCGGTTAAAACAGTCAAAAAAGACGTCTGGTAGCAGAGGCTGCAACCCCTTAGGAGGCACTCGTTCGTGGACGATTGTGACCATCATGGTGGTGAGGACGAAGCAGGAAAGTGCATAAAGGAAGGCCAGGAAAGTCTTTCCCCACTCCATGGGGTACTGGGAGCGCTCCAGCTCTGGCATGGGGATCTTGATCATCTCCTTCCTATACCCATTTGGCATCCCATTGGGTTTGACCTTGACGGTGAAGCTGCTGTCAGGGCTGGGGGCGTCTGTGCCAATGCTAAGGTGCCCGTTGGCATGACCGTTCTTGTGTGCTTCCATGTGATGCTCCACCTTCAGGGTCTCTAGCATGTCCAAGAGCCGCTGCCCGTTGTCAGAGGTGACTCGGCACAAGGGGTGTTTTTTAAAATCCTCCGGGGTTAGGTTGATCAAGTCTCGGCCCATAAAATGTTCCAGGGGCTCACAGTATTCTGGCATCGCATTCTCCAACAGCCATTCGGCCACCTTCTTGGGCAACCAAGAAACCACTTTCTTCATTGTACTGGCAGACAGCGTGTGGCCCCCAGCTGGCTCTCAGGAGGTCAGCAGGCACTGTACTGGGCCTCCTTGGCTCATTCATTCTGTCTGGCCGCGTGAGCGGAGACTTGTTTGGCAAGATGGTCAAGGTGGTTTTTGAACACTTCATGTAGCTGTTCAGGGTTCTGGAGTGCCTGAGTGGCAATTCACCTCATCGTAGAATCAGAGTCTTAGATTGCTTCAGAAAACTTTTGTCATCTTGGCTTCCTATAAGCTACTGACTTCTCCCACTGTTCCAGTACATTTCCAGCACCTCTGATAGCTACTGGTTTGCATTTATTGACAGTTTCCTTTAAAAGTATTCTCATGTACGCTTCTTGAGGCAGGATCTTGTCTTCTCCTTGATAAACTTTGCAACCACATACATCTGGGCCACTCCAAGAACTTAGTGGTGTGTCTGAATCATGCTGCTGTTTTCTTCATTAGCCGTTCTTCCAATATGCCGTCCTTTATCCACACATTGCTGTGTTCCAGTTTCGTTGTTCTTGAAATACTGGAAATCAACGCCTTCTGTCACTGAAGCTTTGCCTGCTTTAAGTGTGGATCTGAAGGACACTAGGCCAATGGCGGCCCACATCAGGTCCTCGTGGCTGACAGGACTGACAGGCCCCAGCTCCCAGCTTTCAAGTAAATGGCTGTCTTCCTCCTAATCAAAACTGAATGGCTAAATATGCCCAAAGGCACATCAGGGATCGTTCATGCTGCCCTCGCCTTGGGGAGTCACGGCTGCCGGCGGAATTCTGCTCGCTGAGCCCCCTGCCGCGGAACGAAATCCGGGGCAGGGCAGCGTCGGGGCTCCACGCACAGATCGAGCTCTCTGGCTGCCTCGCTGGGGCCGAGGGAAGCACAGCCTTCCCTGGCCGGCCCTCCCGATCCGGTCCTGCCCGCTGCTTGTCAACACTCTTGACACCAACATCTAGGAAATTAAAAGACGTATTGCGATGGGAAACTCTGGAGACTAAGGTGCGCCTGGTACAGGCCATGGTCTCTACAGTCACTTGCTATGCATCAGAGAACTGAAGAATGACTAGGGAGGATAGAAGGAGAATTGATGCCTTTGAGCTGTGGTGTTGGAGAAGAGTATTGAATATCCCATGGAGTGATAAGAAAATGAACACGTTCATCCTGGAGAGGGTTAAATCAGGCTGCTCCTTGGAGGCAAGGATTCTGAAGTTTCATCTGACACACTTTGGACATGTTGCAAGGAGGGACCAGTCCTTGGAGAGGGACATCATGCTTGGGAGGATGGAGAGACAGTGCAGGAGAGGAAGGTCCTCGATGAGGTGGGTTGATTCAGTGACTGAGGTAATTGGGGTGGGTGTGTCAGAGGCAGTGCGATTGGCACAGGACAGAGCAGGGTTTAGGGCTGTTGTACGTAGGGTCGCTATGAGCCACAGGCGATTTGATAGCACACAACAACAACAACATATTCATTCATCGTTGCATGATTTCCTCCCTCCCCTGCTTCTCCGTCCCCAGTTCACTTTGCTATGCACCTCCTTGACTGGACGGCTGTCATACAGATAATGCCTAATCATAGATTCCTTTGAAACCGTTCTTCCCTTCATCTGTTCCGGGGCAGCGTTCCATTTTCTTTTTCTCCTTGCGTCATGTGCTGAATAAAACCACCTTTCTCTCCTAACAATGTTTCCCCTAAGATGGTTAAATGGAGGCAGCCAGCATTCAGCACGTAATTGGAAGCCCCAGATGCTCTTCCCTAACAACCTTTATTTAACTCGGGTAACAATTCCTGTTGTGTTATTTAAAAGTGCTTTCAGGTGTCATGCTATATATACACTGGTAAGACCAGGTAATGAGATATATCATTCCAGAGAGCAGTCAGAAAGAGGAAATCCATGGTGTCTGTCCCATGACAAGAAAGCACCTACTCAGATAGATTCTGTCTTAAAAGAAACCTATAGCACACTTCCTGTGATGACCTTTCCAGGTAGGCTCCAACTTTAAGGCAGCTCCTGATTTGCATAATGTCCCCTTTTCTTTTTTTTTAATGTCCCTTTTTAAAAAATTTTTTTATTATTTGTGTGTGTGTGTGTACCATCAAATCGGATCTGACTGGTACAGGAGGAGATTGTCCCTCCTTCCCCGGCAGAGCATCTGGTGGATTCGAACCGTTATACTGTCCCCTTTTCTAAGATGACCTCACCTCACTCTCCTCAAAGTCCTAAGTAAACATGACCCTTGATCACTTCCTTAACCTAACCTACAAATATTCCCTCAGAACTTCCCTTCTCTTAGATTTGGAAATCCCATACCCCAGTCTCCTATATATAATAAATATAATATAAATGGTATAAAACCCTGCTTTTTCCATTCCAACCACTATCTCCAAGACTGTGTTTTCCAGAGGCACGCGGCAGAACTGTACCTTTGCCATAACGCCATGTGTCCCTCCTAACCCTTCCTCTAAGCCTGCTCCTGCCCTGGCTATCCCCTACTCATCAAAAAAACACAGCCTAGCCCTACTTGCCTTCATCAACACTGTTCCTCTTGCCTGGACGACCACCCTCTCCACATATGCCAGGCTTTTTAGAGCCTGATCATTTATGGACCCTTCTGCCTCAGGGCCTTTGCACTCACCTTCCACTGGAACATGCCCCTCAATTTCCGCCTAACTGGATTTCACTAACCATTCAGACTTCAATTAAAGAGTGACCTCCTGGGAGAAGACCCGCCATGACACCTACAGAAGCCCCTCCCCAGTCGTTGGCTGCCCCACCTGCTGCCTTGCAGGTGCTTAGCTCCACCTGGATTGATCTCTTGGGAGTTCCTCAGTCAATTGTCTGTTCCCCCACTTTCACCTGGAATTTTCTATTGACTCTGAATGCAGGCTCCTGGCTGCATCAGGAGTCAATGAGTCTATATCCCTGCAATACCGAATGGAACCGATGCAGATTAAAATATTTACAGTGTGCCTAACACGATCCAAGTTATCCAGTTCATGGCCCCTCAGAACCCATGCATGTTACACACCTGAAGCAACAGAAACACTCGGGCAGGCTCAGTGCCAGGGTCACACAGGGAGGAGGTGTCCACACTAGCTTTTGGACTAGGGTCTGCCTGACACCCTGGGCCCTTCAGAAACCCCACGGCTGTCTCTGGAAGGGATCCAGGAGTCAGGGGGACACATATCTCAAGCAGGAGCGCCCTGCTATAAGGCAAACTTACCATCAGGGTTAAAGTGTTAAGAAAGCTATTTCATCCCAGAGGTGCAAGGTTCGAATCCACCAGATGCTCTGCCAGGGAAGGAGGGACATTCTCCTCCTGTACCAGTCAGATCTGATTTGACGGTACACACACACACACACACACACACACACACACACACACACACAAATAATAAAATAAAAATTAAAAAAAAAAGAAAGCTATGTCATTCAACAAAGAAGGGACAAATGAGAGACCACACGTCTGAGTAATGCCTGCCTGGGTCCAAAGACTACACATTCAACAGTCCATAGGAAAGGAAAAATCAGTTGCAACTTTGCTTTTCTATACATTTGATGAAAACTCCTGCATTACAGAGGGAGCCCTGTTGGCTTAGTGGTAAGGCTTTGTGCTGCCATCCCAAAGGCAAGTGGTTCGGATCCACAAGTGCAGGAGAACGATAAGGACTCTCCTCCCATGCAGTTTACACCCTCTGAAGACCCCCCTGGAGGGTCAGCTTTGCCAACTCAATGACACATAACAACAGCAACATTGAATCACAGTAATTGTTTCACAAAATAATAATCGGTCAGGTCCTTTTTGCTGTGAGTTCTGTGTAGCAAATAGGAAAGTATTATTGAAAAAAGATTTTGGTTACAATTGTCAGTAAGATTTCCTTTGGTCTGCAAAACAAAAGGCTAGAAGTCGGGAGCGGCAAACGACCCTTGTTTCGAGAGCCTTTTTGCTCATGTAGGTCATGCGATGGTTGTTTGAACTGTCAGAGAATCACGAAGGATTTCAAACGACGTATGGGCTTACGCCGAGGCTCCAAGCTCAGTGAGGATTTTTAATGCAGGTCATAAATTTTCTCCCCATCACGTGTTCTTAGCTTTTCAGGCTTAAAGCGGCCGGAGCCTTGGCTGTGTGGCAACAGGAATGCGGACAGCCTCTCTGGTCTCCCCTGTGACTAACTGTAAAACGGTGGAGGGTTTTTGATTGCCTTATTCCCTCCACCCACATACATTTCATTCTCTTCAGAGCTGTCAAGCCAGTGGAAAGGACTGAACTTGTATCTGGCAGGAGAGTGGCCTTTGAAGTCAGGGGTTGTCTTGACCTTGCTCAGGGTAGTTGCAGACGTCTTCAGCTCCTTAAGAAATGGCTTCGCAGTGGTTACAAACTTGGAGGAGTGAGTGGTTGAGACAGTCCCTGCCAGGGCCGGGGTTGGACCTGATAGAAGTATGGAGAGAGTTTAGACTGTGAGTCTAGCGATGGGAAAATAAGTTTTTAAAGGTAATCTTTATTTGCTTATGGTTATAATATTAGAAATGGGGAGGGGAAAAGTTTACTGGAACAACCCAATGGACCTCTGTGGCTAGGGCCAGGACACCTTAGCCTGTGATATCCAACAGGATGCATTTTATAATGGAATAAATAATGTCAACTGTTCTAATTACAAGCCCAATCTCTATCGTGGAGGAGAGTAGCCATCTATTGGGTGTCTGGGGAGGGCTGGCTTCACCAGGAAGCTGGTGTTTGGACCGGTCCTGGAGACTGGAAGTGCAGAAGTGGACAGTATGATATTCTGGTCTCACCAGTGTCCCAGGGACTGTGCCATTCCTTTCAAGCCCATTTATTTGCTTATGGTTATAATAGAAATTCTTTATTCCACCACCATCCTTTACCAGCCTTTCCAGCCAGGGCAGCCTATGCTGGAGGGACTAAGAGTCGCACGTCATTAGTCGCTAGGGGCTTCCCTGGGCAGATTTGTCCCCTGTTGCCCTGCATCTTGGAGAGAGACTACTAGA